TTAGGGAAAATGGAAGGAAAAAGAAAAAATGTTTGCAAAGTGATAGAAAAGGGTTCGAGTTGTAAAGTGAGATGCCTAATTTATTTTTTTCATTTAAACTAATCTTTAATTTAGCTCATGTTGTTACATTCTATGTTCTCTTATTCTTGTTCGTTCTATGAAGTTCTAACGAATGATTAAAATATATACACATATATTTGATCTAAGAATCAAGCTGTATGTATCACTTGTCAGTAGATTCAATCTTATGTTTTTCAGATATAAAATAAAAATTAGTTGTAATTCTTTTGTATTTCAATAATATTAATATTAGTAATTTTTAACTTACTTAGAAAGGGTGAAATTTTAATTGGTAATTAAAGATTTGCTAGGAATTTTTATTTTTGTATTCCAAGGTTTAAAACCTTGTGTGCACTTCCAAATAACTCTTTCAAATTTTGCCCTCATATTCAATTCTTTATTAAAATATTTTTTAGAATTTCCAATTTGGTTTTTAGACTATTTTTAAACTTTTTGTTGAGTCCAATCATTAAAATTTTAATACATTACGTAGGCAATTTATAAACATTTCTACTAACTTATATATTCTAAGGATGCTAACATCATATTGTCTAAAATTAGATATCAAATACAAAGGTTATAGTCAAGGTTAATAATATAAATAATTAAAGACCAAAATATAATCTAGAAAATAACTTATAATAGTCAACTAAACTATAGTTTTTGTTCTTATATAGTCAATTCTATATCTAAAATTTGTATGTTTCAAATATACTTAATTGTCAGATTTGTTTGCCCTCAAGCTATGTATGGGATCACAATTTTATCTTTGAAGATATTTAGCTCACGATATTCATAAGTTTAAGGCAAGACAACTAAATTTGTGTAGCTTGTGTTTGAAATAATGAAAGGAGATTTTCTTGTGGGGGTGAAAAAATGTGTTATTAAAAAAATGAATTTATAATTTCGAGATCTTGTATTTAATTCGACAGTTTATAATGTTTAAAAGGTCGTATGTAGCATGTAAGACGAATTTCATAAAGCTCAGCTTATCACGAGAATTTGTGATAAGTAAATTCACCTGCCAAATATAACCTCAAACTTCTTAACTTTTAATTACTTACATACAAATCTATCTCGTGAGTAAAATACTTAGGAGGGTTTTGAAACTCTTTCTTTAAATTGTGTATTAGTGGGACAAAACAACCAAAAATTGGGGATTAGTAGTGGGTTCCATATTTGTATGATTGGCTATAGGAAATTGAGGATATAGACCCAAACAAATTTTAATTTGTGGACAATGTTCCTTATTTTAGGGGATTTTTTTAAAATTTTCTTTTTGACAAAGAAGGGAAAAAAAAAGTAGTTTTGGAGATTAGCTTTACTTTTGTCTTTTGAACTGTAAGAAGGAAACATGAACCAATGTTTCAAACCCCATAAGGTGGAAAATTCCCATATTTATGTTTAGGAATTTGTTAGAATTTGCTGAGTTTTCAAATTATAAGGTGTAGTTATTGGACGCGATTATTCATATGACATTGAGGTTATTATTATTATTATTATCATTTTAACGTTGAGACGGAGATTCAATTTTGTCAAAACAAATATAGTTAAGCGGTAATTAACATATATCTCCAACTAAGAGGTTGTGAATTCGAATAGATTTAATATCCTATGCGTTTTTAATAGAGTTGCTGAACTTAGCTCCGACCCGCAACATACACACACATATATATATAATTTAATAGTGTAATCATACAAATTGGTTATCAATTTTTATATTCTTCAAACAGAAACCCATACGAAAGTTACTTATTCAAATTTAAGGTAAACGTTATCATTCTTAAATTTTATTTTTTATTTTTTTAAGAAACTA